AGTCCCAGCTACTCGGGAGGCTGAGGCAGGAGGATCGCTTGAGCCCAGGAGTTTGAGGTTGCTGTGAGCTAGGCTAACGCCATAGCACTCACTCTAGCCAGGGCAACAGAGTAACTCTGTTTCAAAAAAAAAAAAAGAAAAAGGAATGGACTACTCATAAATAAAATGACATGGATGAATCACAGAATCATCAAGCTGAGTAAAAAAAGACAGACATAAAAAAATTATATACTGTTGATTCCATCTATGTGAAATCCTTGAAAAGACAAATCTAACTTACTGTGTTAAAAAGCATATAAGTGTTTGTGAGGAACAGGGATGGGGGTGAATTATAAATGAGGCACAAGGGAACTTTCAGGGTGATGGATATATTCTACGTCTTGATTGCAGTGGTGACTGTATAAACTGATGAAAACTTATTAAAACGTACATTCCAAACGTACATTTAAAACTCATTAAAATATACATTCAAAATTTAGCAACATAACCAGTCTTAATAAAGCTGATCTGAAAAAGTAACTTGAGAAAAAAGATACCAATAAAAAATATTACATTCCTAAGGATAAATCAATAAGAAATATATAAGACTTTATACAGAAAACTGAAAATCAGTACTGGAAAAAATTTTAAAAAACCCTAAAGAAATGGAAAGAATATATAATGTTCACAGTTTGTAAGTCACAAAATTGAAAGAGATCTATAGATGCAATATAACCCAGTTGCAATAGATTTATAGCTTCTACCCTTTACAAAAACCCTAGCAAATTGTTTTTAAAATGGATATTGACAAACTAATTCTAAAACTTAAATGGGAATGCAAATCATCAAGAGTAGCTTAGAGTAGACTTTCTTGAGGAAAAAGGTCAAGGTGGGAAAACCTCACTCAACCCAATATTGATCTTTATTAAAGCTAAAGCCAACTATGACTGGATGGCAGAAAGATAGACAAATGGGGCAGAATTCTGTGCCAAACCATAATGAAATACATATAGACACTTGATTTGTGACAAAAGTGACAGAGCATGGGGAAAAGAACTGCCTTTCAAATAAACAGTGCTGGGTCATCTTCATATCCCTATTATTCCTACCTCATTACATTCATAAAGTCAACTGCAGATGGATTATATATCTAAACATAAAAAGCAAAGAATAAACCAGCCAGTAAATAAGGTAGGAAAAATGTAGGGAAAGTCTTCTACAACACAAAAAGCACTTATAAACAAGAAATTGATAAATTAAATTTCATTAAGATTTACAACTTGATCAAAACAGACCATATAGATAATGATATGAAAAGCTATAGATGGGAAAACATATACGTATGACATATAATCATCACAGGGCTCATTTTCAAAATGTATAAAAGAACTTTTACAAATTAATAAGAAAAAGACAAACAACCCAACTTTCAACAATGGGCAAAATATTTCAACAAGCAAATCATAAAAGAGAAAAACCAAAAGACCAATAAAAATATTTAAAGAGTGCTCAAGCTCATTAATCATCAGGAAAATGCAAACTAAAATACAATGAAATGCCCCTATACTCCCACCAAAATGGCTAAAATGAAAGACTGAGAGTATTACGTCCTGGCAAAGATATGAAGCAACAGGAATTCTTGTAACCCGCTACTGAGTCAGTAAACTTGTATAACCACTTTGAAACACCATTTGGCATTATCTAGTGAAATTGGACGTATGTAAACATTATGAATTGGCAATTCCACTCCAACTTATTTACCCAACAGATACACATACTAATGTGTAGTACACCCACATAATAATACTGCATCAATAACAATTATAAGTGGCATTATTTTCTATATAGCAGTATTATTTTTAATAGCTAAAAAACGGAAAATTTCAAATGCCCATCATCAGTAAAACAAATTAATTAATTGTGGAATACACATATAAAAGAATAAAAATAGAGTAAGAACGAACAAACTATTGCTACATACCACATGGATGATCTCATAAACATATTGAACAAAAGAAGCCAGAAACAAAGAATATATATGGTGTCCTCACATTTACATAAAATTCAAAAAGGACACAGTATCCTAGTATTGAAAGTCAGAGTGGGGACTCTGAAGAAGAGCATGAACAGTGACTGGCACAGGGGCACAAAGTGGGGGCTTCTGGGGTACAGTCTATTTCCTGACTTGGATGATGGATGGTAAGATGAGTGTGTTCATTCTTTCACTGAGATTTTATACTCTGCATATATGTTATATTTCTATAAAAACTGTGAACATATACACATATGCACGTGTGTGCACATGTACACAAGTTTACTCCAAGAATGAGAGTTAATGACTTCTAGGACTGTTCTTTAATCATGACAGATGAGAGAATGTTTGATTGTTTGAGTTCCAAAGATACATGTTATAGATAACTTTGCAGACTTATTATGGAAGTTTGTATTTGATCACCCCCCAAAGATGCCCAATTTTATCATGTTACCATTTGTACATGTTTTAACTTTTATTGGAAATAGTAACATATACTATAGGACAATGGATTATAAATCCAGCAGTCAGTGGTTTAAAATCACTCAGCATCTCTCAGTTTAGACTCTGAAACACAATATCACAGATTTTTATATAATAATGAGCCAAAAATATTAGAATTATGTAATTACGGATTGTAATCACAAAATACATAATTAACCTACACTCTCATGAATTCTTACTATATCTTTGGGGTTTTTTGCATACTGTTTCACTATGTTAAGAAAAATAAAGGAAGAGTAAAAAAACAAACAGTTATGCATACCTCATATTTTCAGCTGAATCTTCTGGCATTGGAGCAACAGTTTGTACAGCTGGAAGGTTTTTGCTGGTAGCACCATTCACAAAACTAGAAGAGGAGGAAGAGGAGGAGGACCCTGAATCCACGGCACCTGTTCCCAAAATAATAATTTTTAGCCTTAAACATAAATTTATTTAACAAAATAATTGTAATTATATCATTACTATCTGATTTTGAAAGAATTATTCATCTGAAGTTCAAAACAGAATTCGACAATTAAAAATCATTTGGCCATTAGTATACTAATAACTCTTTAAAATTTTAAATAGCAGCTGTTGCATTAAAATCCAGTTGATTTACTTATGTTAATCTAACAAAACTACATATTACAAATGGGATATAAATAAAAGACATCAACAGATGAAAAAAAATTTAGATAAAATGAGGCTGATAAAAGAATGCAAATTTAGATGTAAAAATTATTATTGCTATGTTGTAATGTTTTTAGTTTTCAACATCTAAGGCACAGTTTATAATGAATTGTCTGAGCATAGGCTGGTGGCACTGCAGCATCAAATGCTCATTCTGATAAGACGATTGTTTACAAAGAGCTCCAATGAGTATAATTGTACCTGATTTTAAAATAACGTGTTCTCCTCAACGTTATGAAGATGCCATTTTAGAACAGATTATTCTATTATACGCCATATATTAAAGTTAGCTGTGGAGTTGAGGGACATCTAGTGTTCCTAAATATTATCATATCTTATACTAATTCCCATAAAACTGAATTGCTTACTGGGGTTTCTACTATAACATTTAATATCACCTATGTGCCAGCATCTAAACTGGACAATGCACACAGTTTAGATGTTGGCCCACAATATATAT